GTGAGTTTTCACAAGACTGTAAAACACTGGGCATGTGGGGTTTTCTAGCTTGAGCCTTCTGATAATTTTATCATCTAGCCTCGCTGATTTGCCCACTTTCATCCATAGCGTGTTTAACTTGTGCGTTTGTGCATGAAAGGCATTTTCTGTCGATGGACGGTAAACAGTTGTATCCGATAGATGGAGCTCTGTGATTTCCTATCCATGGATTGGGGCAATACCACAAATTCTCCACCCTTGTCGCTGACAGAAAGGCGTATTTCGTTGCGCGATATTCTATCCCGGATCTCCTTGAACCCTTCCCATGCTCCCTCGTCAAGTTAGTGCGCTTTTCTTGCTTAAATCTATTGAGCGCTTCGAGCACTCTCGAGGATAATATCCAAAACTTGATATCCGCGGGAACGGAATGGATGTTGGAACGCTTGAAGAACTATGCTCCAACCTTTCACCCACATTTCTCTAGGGGTCGCGTCATGCCTTCGTTCTCAACTGATTTCTAAATTTTTGCAAACCGCTAACTATCTTGCGATTCGTAAGCGGACTGATCATTTGCGTCGATGAGAACAATGACCCCAAATTCAAAAAATCTTGAGATGAAATTTGTGAATCGTTAATAATTGTGACTCTTGCCTACTCGGTATCAGTATGTTGAGCATTTTCACATTCGTATCGGCTGGGGTTGGTTAGGAAGTAGCTGCTGGCAGAATTCTCTACCCGCTGTTCACTACTCAGTGAATTGCACTGGGCACAGAGCGTAGCTTTTGCATTGAACGGATAGAATCGCATATCTGTTTCGATTCACCTTCAATCCTTGTCCATGTTTCACGTGGTAGCAGGCGACGACAGGATTCTTCTTTACTGGTGCATTTTAACAGCATCGTACACAGTAGGTGTTGTTTTTCTCTGATAACACACTCAATAGCGATCGGTATAGTCTCATTATTCTTGGATGTGTATCAGGTAAGCCGCACACTGATCTGAGTTTTTTGTTCAGTATGAACTTGGAAGAACTTCGGTTGCCTTACAGCATTGCAGAAACAAGAGGGATTGTCGGGTGAGTACAATTTCCTGATGTAATGATATTACTTCTCTCCATAGGCGGATCACATTCGGCGGTATATACTGTAGTAAACTCCATGTTCGCCTTTCTTGTAACCTAGGCATTTTGTGCTCAGGTGATCGATAAAACTTTTCTTATGCGGGACAGATTTGTATTATGGGATGTTTATTACGCCTGACGTTTCGACAATCTCGTCGTTTTCAAAGGCCTGAAAGCATACCGAAACTCGTGAAATACGACCTATCCTGTTTAACATGAGCCCGTCCTTAATTAGTGGCAACTCAGACCAAAGGGAACTACATGGAAAAGAATTCATATTCAAGTTGAAAACTGAGTGGCAAGTACACCAAGGGACAATATGAAACACCAGTCGGTTAGAAATCGCCTCTATGATCGAGTCTGACCATCGAGAACTGCGGGGTTAGTCCGTACGGGAAAGTTGGTGACTGTGCACATGGCTGTAATTTACCACATTCAATGTTCAACTTGCGCTTCATCAGTTCGGTGAAACTGCGAGGCAACTGAGTACACGAGTAGAGGAACATCCTGGCTAGCAAAATACAGGAAAGTTTTGTTGCACCGCTTGCCAAGCAGAGGGAAAAGGGGAGTAAAAGAGAAAATCATGGCGGCTGTAATTTTGAAGGTAAATGCACAATATTGGCCCAAGAAAATGGTGTTACTGCTAGAAAAACCCTCGAGGCGTTCTGGGTAAAGAACTGCAATCCATTCATTAACAACAGCAGGCACAATTCAACTACATATTACTACCCCAAAAAGTCAAAAAAAATTTTCTGCAGAAACTTTGCCCACTGGGGTAATACGGTGTCTCGATCACGAATATAACACTCATTCTCGGCACTGACGCCAACTTGGCGCCATTTGGTGACGGTTCAGCTCCGCCACCTTCCCTACCAAATTCGAGGTAAATTTGCACAATAGGGTTACTTCATGTCATGATCACAAACGTCACATTAGTTTTTCGCCCTGGCGCCATTTGGCGCCACATCCTTCTTCATAAAAACCGAAAAACCTGCATGATAGATCGCTTGATGCCCTAACCACAAATATGAAATTCATTTTCGACAGCAGCGCCATTTAGCGCTCCTCTAAGGCTGGACCTGCGATAAGGAGTGCTTTCCCTTTAGGCTAGCGTCAGCAGAGCGCAGACGAACTTACAAGGGAAGCATGGTAGGTCGAAGTGGCCATTTGAAATGAAATGTATACCGGCTGAAAGGTCTTCGGACGGGAATTACGAAACCGTCTTCCATATCTGCTGCGGACCTCCCAGAAAGAAGTTACGGAGCTTTTTAGGGGGAGAATACACTACAAATTGGCGGCGTAAGGCTGATGAGATCGTGGCAGCATGGCCGAGTGGCTACGTCGTAGGGTTCACGAACACACGGTTGAGGGTTTGAATCCTTGATGCGCGAACTATTTTGCATTTTTATGAAAGTGATCTCTGTGCACTTGAAAACATTTTTGCTTAACTACACTGCTTGATAATGCCGTGGCGTAATGTTTCTGAAGGAGCAGAGCCCTAGTGGACGATTTCACGGCGAACATTTTTGGCTGTTGATTTCACCTTTTATTGCTTCTTCTGTACATTTATGGTCTAGAGACAAAAATGGTAGTCAAGTACACCTTTTATTGCTTCTTCTCTACATTTATGGTCTAGAGACAAAAATGGTAGTCAAGTACAAAATGGTGAAAACAAAAAGTTTCTCGCAGTGAGAGCAACGGATGAAAAAGAGATCGTTACAATTCGCAACGTCACGTTTACCCCAAATCTGGAGGAAATGCATATTGGAGCGGAGTTACGAACTTACCCGGATGCCCTTCGAGGTACCCTGCTGCGTACCACGAGTAAGATAGGAAATTTATTATTTATTCATTATATGCACTCCTACATTATTTCATACCATAATCAGGTCGGGCTAAAAGAAGAACGAAAAGAAGAGAAAAAAGAATACAAAAAACACCACAGAAACGTAGACAACTCAAGGGAACACAACACAAATGAGCTCGAACGGCATGGAACGGACACAAAATGTCAGCGGAGTAGTAGAATAAGTATAACCACTACCTACAAAGTTCATCATAAGTAAGGAATTGTCCAGTCAAGTATGTAGTAGGAAACAAAGAAAAGAAGTAGCCGCCCGTCTCATCCCCTTGAGCTGCAGTGTGTATACGTGAAATCAACACGAGTAATGTGAAAAAAATTTTTCAACAGGCGGATGGCGCTAGGGAAACGCCACTCTCGGCGAGCAAAAGGTAAAAAATATGGAATCAGAGACTGGATTTTCGGAAGTTAGGTATTCCCTATCCCTAACAATCCAGCCTCTGACCCGCCATCTATTAGGTCCATTATTGAACTATCTCCTCAAGTGATAAGCTCAGGGCGAAACTATTAGAATACTTCGTTGCCTCCCAACTGGAGAATTCACTACCTAACTAGCAAAATTTCGGTGTTAACAATGATCAGAACATAGTCCCAAAAATACAGAAGTAGGTCCCAGAGTAGTCCAGATCGACTGATAGGAGCTCGGAGAGTATGGCAAAACAAAATTCCACTACTATCTTGCTACCGTACATCCTCAACTTTCAGAATTCTGAAAATATCAGATTTTTTCAAACGTGCTTTGAACTCCTTCGAATTACTACAGGAAAGCATATCATGGGGTAGCATGCGCAACCACCTGGCCGCTCGGAAAAAGAAAGAATGAAACACAACATTAAAACGATGTCGCTCTAATTTCTTGTAATGGATTGTGATTCCACACTCAACCCTCCTGTACGGTCGGAAAATCCAGTATTTGCTGGCTGCCACTTTTATCTCTCTTCTTAAAATGCGAAAAGCGAATACAAGGTCGCTAAAAATTCTTCGGTATTTCAGACTCCTCATATTCAGCGCTCTCAGGCGATCTTGGTAGACTGAAAGTGCCTGGGGGTATTACGAATTAGGAAAACACCTGTAGAACGCGAGCCTTGTAAACGTTTTTTGCACTCTTTCCAACCTGTTCTCGTGTTTTTTTTTCATCCAGGGACTCCACACAATGGATCCATACTCTAGATGAGGCCGGATGTAAATGTTGTACAGCCTGACAAGGAGACTGGGGTCGTTACATTGCACATTCCTTAATACCAGGAAAAGACACCTAATGGTCTCTTTCACCATCTCAATGTGCTCATGAATGCGCAGCCGTGCATCGGATCGGGTTGCCAGGTTTAGATTTCCTTGTTGACAGATTGCATTCTAAATCTGTTGTGATAGAGTGTCCGGATTCGAACCGCGTTGATACGGGATGGGTGGGCAGGGTCCCAAACGGAGATGTGCAGTTTTTTCCAAATTGAGGGGGGGTCCTAGTCTGTGGACCATCTCAACATCTCCTCGATGGATAAGCTTAGCATTTTGTGTCTTTGCTGGTTGCTGTTGACTGTCATAAACACCGATCAACTCAGCATGCTAACTTAATTTATCGTGGCGACCTTGTGGACTGCTTTCGTCAAGTCAAAATATATTATGTCAGTCGACTTGCCACTGTTGACGCCCGTCAACCAGTCGTACATTGAATCACTCATGAAAGTTACAGTTTTTGATGCTCCCGGCAAAAAAACCGTGTTGCTCTGTAGTATGATCCCTCTTTTGACGAGCCACTCAGTTGGTTTTTTACAGATGATCTTTTCCATGATTTTTCCATAACGGGGGCAAATGCTGTATAGGCTGATTGCGAGACCTTTGCTAGCGCATCTTTCCAATACTGGGCACTATCACGAAGCTAGAGAGGCGTTAAGGATGAATGTTAGAGGATAGTGAAGAGCAAAACAACACTTTCGAAAGACAATTTGTGGTATGCCATCATAGGTAATGGAGGAGGAGACTTTCCGTTTTTTCATAACTCTAAGCTCTTCGTGAGGTTACATGACGAATTCCGGGAACACATTAAACTCGCTTAGATCCGCTGTGAGGCTGGTCTAAATGTTGGACGGGTTGGGTAAACACACATGCGAAGTGATTCCCCAGAGCTGTGGCCATTTCCCGATCGGAGTTGAGGGTGTGATTCTCACCATTCACAATGCATATGGGTTTGGTTGCGGCGTTAAGCTTTCCTTTCAGGTACTTGAAAAAAGAGGAGTGTTTACGATTCAACAACTTACGCTCGCAATAGGCAAGGTATTTTTTGACGTGAAGACTGATGTTAGAGCAGACTTTTTTGTAATTCGCATCGCTCAAAGGATTCTTCAGCTCTCGAAACAAGCGAACTTTCTGGTCAACTAAATTTCTGATATGGGTAGGGGTATTGATGTTATTTTCCCCTAGTATAGCGGAAAGGCACAAAACTAGGGAAGAAGTCATAAAGAACTAAACAAAATTTTAGTAAAGATCTGTAACTGAGGTGTAGTTGTTGAATATCAGATTCCAATCTACTGTGTTAAGACAGTCACTGAGCTTCCGATAATCAACCCTTCTAAACACAGTTTCAGCTAGGAAACTACTCTCTTTTTTGATATAGTCAATTCCGAACTTTACAATATTAGATCAGAGTTCCCGAGAGGGAGACATTTCCAATCTTGAAGCCAGAAGATAAAATCAGGTCCAAGACGGATTCCCCGCGAGTGAAGTACCTAACCCATTGTTCGAGCTCGCAGCACTCAAATGCTTCTTTGAATCGCATATCGGCTCCTTTGACTGCTTTGTCATTCTCCCAGTCAATGCTCGAAGTTGAAATCACCAGTTATAACAGTGGGGTTTGTTGTGGAACATATGTCATATAGAGAATCAATTAACTCATTATCATCAATTAGCCGTGGACTGTGGTGGCCGATAAACAACAGCTAGGCGCAAAGGCTCAGTAGAAACTCTGAAGTGATGTCGAACCAGAGCACGTCAAAGGAAATTGCTTGTGTCGATTCGGACTGACTTGCAATCGCAAATCATCCCGAACCAGGCAACATACTCCCCTCCTCTCTGGCAACCCCGATCGCTTCGAATTAGCTTATAGTTTAGGCCACCCAATACTTCTGTATCACTAGTTCTCTCATCAAGCCAAGATTTCTGTGACTAATAATAGATCAGGATCATTAATAGCAACAAACGCATGCAAAAGCGACAGCTTGTTAACCAAACTGCGCGAATTGAACAAGAAACAACGCAAGTGGGTGCAGTTCCCACGCATCACTGGCGGTTTCCCCGCTCTAATCGAGGGCAGCTCGCTGGTCTTCTTTAGTTCACTTTTATAAACTACCCACTCCTTGAATCCCGCACTTTTATTCAACTCCTTAGCCTGCTGCCTAGATTTGTAGTCCACTGCCCGCTCTTCAGCCGATCTGCGCCTTATGAACACATCAGACGTTGTGGATCGACGCGGCAGACGTGCATTAGCAAGAACCTTTGACCAGTGGAACTTAGACGGCAATAGAACTTTAACCAACCTAGTTTTCGAATCCGAAAATGCTCCCATCCTGTAGACTGATTTAGGACGACACTCAATATCAAGAATCTCTAAAATACCTCCAATCTTATCCCCTAGCTCTGTTTGTCGTCGCGATGCTGGTAGCTTACGAGCTTCCTCCGGTAGCCCAGCTATAACCACACTACGACCTCTTCGATCTTCTTCTAGGATACTGAATACCATTTGAACTAGTTTTTCTTGTGATGCCAAAATCATTTCATGCATTCTTGGATCTGAACTCATCTCGAGCATTGCATTGAGAAGCTCATTAATAGAACAGTTGCGATAGTCAGAACTGCCTATATCAGAAACTCCTGCCGGTTTTTGAAAAGCGTTTTTTGAGTTTTGTGTATTTCGTTTTCCTGTCATTGCGAAAAATGCGCAGAGAAGCACTCCTGCTAAGGCGTATAATAGATCAGGACAAATCAAAATACTCCTAGATCGATCGATAGCAATTCCCAATCACGGAAAATGCCAATGGTGTGGATAAGAAAGCAGTCTGCCTAGACAGCGAAAGGAACAAGTCGGAAAAGTATTTGATCGATCAAGCAGATATTAAGACTTGTTGCTTTGTTTCCTACTACAAATAGCCTTGTTTACTCCGAAGAGAACTCACGGTTATACCAAATCAACACGGTGAAAGTTAGAGCCCAGTCGAGTGCCGCCGCACGCTAGCTGCCACGTGGAATGTTCTAAATCTTGGAGCACAAAATTGGGAATAAACGAGAGAAATGATGCAAAGGATGGAATCGCGGGAGTGCACAGGGAAGTCCAAATCATGGCCGATAGCATAAGATGTAAACCGCTTAT